GAACTGTGTATATACATATATATAATTACGACATCTCCAACGTAATTCACTGAGTGAAGGGATTTCTGGATCTTTCATTAACCATGTCATAAATTTTACTATAGAAGCACGCTACCGTCATATGATCACTCGAGATAAAGGAGACTGGTTTTACTTCATGATAAATAGCAATCTTTTTTGTTTGATTTTCGGATATACGGCAAAGCTACGTATAGCAGCCCCTAACTTTGAACTGATAGACTGAGGAAGGCACCTACCTTCAACATGATAATAGATAAAATTGTATTATTTTAAGTTTCGCGTTACCGTTAAAAAAATCGTGTTAATAATATACACAGCAACGTTTTTGTATCAAACAATAATAACACATTTATGTACAGAAACAGAAGTGTTTGTTTAAACAATAGTAATACTTTTGTTGTTGCTATTGTTTCTTGATGCAAGGTTACACAGTGGGTTCTTTGCACTCTGTTCATGGCGGGTAATCGAGTCTCGAATTTTAGCGTCTTAAGTGCGTAAACTTACCGCTGGCCCAGGGAAAAGTAATAGTATATTTCAGTATACACAAAACCTATTTATTTAAACAATGCTAATATTCAGATGAATAGAAGGAAGTGTTTAAACAATGCTAACATTCATATGAATAGAAGGAAGTGTTTAAACAATGCTAACATTCATATGAATAGAAGGAAGTGTTTAAACAATGCTAACATTCATATGAATAGGAGGAAGTGTTTAAACAATGCTAATATTCAGATAAATAGGAGGAAGTGTTAAACAATGCTAATATTCAGATGAATAGAAGGAAGTGTTTAAACAATGCTAATATTCATATGAATAGGAGGAAGTGTTCAAACAATGCTAATATTCAGATGAATAGAAGGAAGTGTTCAAACAATGCTAATATTCAGATGAATAGAAGGAAGTGTTTAAACACAGATAATATGATAAAGTATAAATATTCTTTCAAATAACGTTAAATGTACTTATGTATAGATTTATACATGATAAATTCTTGGCAACGTAAACAAAGAATATCAGAATTAAAGATTAAAAATGACCTAAAATAGAGGGAATGAAAAAGCCTCAAAATAACAAGATATACTATACCCATACAACATTCTGTGTAAGAAATCAATAAACACAACTAACAGAAACTGTAACAGTACACTTCGAACATCATTCAACAAGAATATTTAATCTTAAACTAAAAAATACAGTATTTTTGTTTTAGAGCAAAGCTACACAATTGGCTATCAGCACTCAGTCCACCAGGTAAATCGTAGTAAACTAAGTAGAATCAATTCGAATATAACGACCAGTGTAAGTAGCTTTACGACCACAAAATAATTTGAGGAATTATTTTCAAACTCAACAAAAGTAACCGATACACACGGAGCAGTTAATGCTGTAATAGAAGTATGCCATCGATTCAACACGAATTCTCAAAATAGTTAAAAGTCAACGTTAACATAACTAACGCTAGAAGCTGAGCTCTAAAACAAGATAGTTAAAATGATGAAGCATTTATTGTCAAACTAAATGAAATATAAGAAGATGCAAGAAACAGTGTGACTCACCAAACAAGGAAATAAAATACCGTGAAATTATCCGTAATCTTATGTTTTCCTTTTTGTAGGGCATTCCAATTTCAACTTATTTCACAGAAACCAACACCTTTCTCTATCGCCAAAATAAGTCAAGTGAACTGCAGTTCACGGAAACCAACACCTTATCTCCCTATCATCGAGATAAGTGGAGTGCAGTTATGGGGACAATTTGGAAAAAAAAACAACTAATATTGTAGTAATCAAGTGTTTTAGATGTGTTTTTGTTTCCCTAATAGTTTTCTCATTCTGCAATATATACACATATGTAACCTAAACGTTTTTCTATGGAAAGTTCTAGAAACAAAACAAAATGATATTTTAAATTAATTTGCACAGCAACGTTTTAAAGATTCGATATATCTCAGGAAGATTCCGAACACAAGTAAGGAAGAAATCTGATCCAAAATATTACACATAACGCCATGGAGGTTTTGTGGTAGTATATACGTAGGGCGGGGCCTATCCTGATTGTGAATCTGTGAATTCCTTTTTCGTGTCTCGTTGCCACCAAAATGCGCTTTGTACTCTTGGGGCGATGGGTACGTGCAGTATGAGAGTTTCGGTCAAGTCTCACTATTTGGCGGAACAAGAGTTGCCCCAAAATTGGCGATGCTTCCCCTCTATATTAAGGGTTTGCATGGTGTGGTGGATGGGACTTGCAATACGCAGATAATGTGTTTTAAAATCCCGTCATCGAACATGCTCCCCCAGTTCAGCCATAGGGGGGTGTTACAAAAAGTTACGGTCAGTCCCATTGTTAGTTGGTAAAGAGTAGCCCAAGTGTTAGCGGTGGGTAGTGTTGACTAGCTGCCTTCCCTCTAGTCTATCAATTCTAAATTAGGAACGACTAGCGCAGATAACCCTCGACTAGCGTTGCGCGAAATTAAAAAAAACAACAAGTAAATAAAACAAATCTTCTGGACTATCAGTTCAAAAATAGGACGGCTAATAGCAGAAAGCCCTTGTATAACATTGTAAAATCTAAAACATAGATACAAAAGTAATTAATACAACAATTAAGTACGATACAGCAGTTACCATAAGTTTTAGGATTACCATTTTTCAGTAACCGTGAGAAAAAATTACTTCCAGTATAGAACGGCAATTAGGGCGTCAAAATGACTTCTGTTTAAAAGAAACCAAGAGCAAAGAACATTAAACGAAGCAATATTGAATAAAAAACGAAAAAAAAAATTCAGAAAATTAATTTTATTTTACATAATCATTTGTGGAAATACCGACAAGTTTGGGTAACTTATTGAAAACAAATTACATTTTGTAGTTCTTTCCACGAATCTGAAAAAGTTACTGATATTTTCACATTTCCTTTTAGCAAATTGTTGCTGTTTTATTAAACAAAGCTAAGATGACACTCAGTCCACTGCTGGGAATCGAACTCCAGATTCTAGTGCTGTAAGTCCGTTAATTTACCACTGACCCACCAGGAGACTTCCTTCTGTCATGAGTGGCGTTGGCCTCCATAAGACAAAATAGAAATCTCTCTCACTTTATATATATATATATATATATATATATATAACTATGTGTGTGTGTGTGTGTGTGTGTGTGTGTGTGTGTGTGTGTGTGTGTGTGT